TCTTCAAGCCCCACAGACCAAAGTCGTTCACTCCGGTGAACTTTTCAATCTCATACTTTGTTGAAGGCATCTTCTCCACGCTCACCGCATCAATTTGTTGTGAATAGGATACCGTTAAACAAAGTATAAACGGTTTCTTAATGATCAAGAAACTCACAAGGGTTAGGGTTAATAAAGAAAACAAGGTAAAACAACAAGGAACAACAAGGATTGTTTATTAAACTGTTATTCTTTCCTTCCTCTTAGAACAAGATTACAAGTATACAAGAATAACAAAATAACCTCTCTCCCTTGAAATTAGGATTTTATCTTCCTATTTTTCCTTATACCAAGATTGAGAAACTAGCATCCTATTTATAATAAAATAGCACATGCTAACAACCTTAGCAATATTTACTCATGCTAACAACCTTAGCAATATTTACTCATGCTAACAACCTTAGCAATATTTACTCATGCTAACAAGCTTAGCAATATTTACTCATGCATGTTAGAAAAAACTTCGACTACAGCACGCATTACTTGCGAACAGACTTCGACCACACTAGAGTTCGATCCAATGTCTCACAAAGATTCATACATTTTCTCAAAGAAAACTCGTTTTTTTTTAACTTTGTTACTTTGAGTATTTGTGAGATTTTGTAGTGAAATCAAATGAACACCCTCGAATCCTAACACTAGAATCTCTATTCATACAGGTGTAAGATAATTGTTTCCTAACATTTGTTTCTTCAGCCTTTGCCACGTAGATTTTTGCATGTACTTCGCTTCTGAGTTTTCTCCACATGTCCTTTGAGATGAAACTGAAAAGTAGTTATTATTTTGAACAAAACACTTCTTCACACCCAAATAACCATTGATCGACGCCCCTTCTTGATGTTAAAAATTTGAATAATCATGTCGTCGAAATGTCAGATTAAATACTCTTTTTTCTTGAAAAATACTAAGTCATATTTTCTCTCCCCTTGAGACTTGGACAACAACACGTCAACAATCATCTAGTTAACTTTAACTTTTCTCAAGCCTTTCAATTATATTGAGATATTTTACCATTGTCGAAAATCTCAGCTAACAAATGCCCCCTCCCAAAAGGCCTCTTTCGACGAAAAGGAAATAAGGGCATTTTTTTACCTTTATCAAACACTATTTCAGCTAGTGGGCTGACGTCATGAACATCATGACCTTTCTATCAACTGTCGTCTCGGAAACATGCATTTTCCACTAACCCGTACATCTTCATCTTAGTTCCGTCTTCGTAGAGTGGCGTGGCTAGGTGTACAAAAATTGTTTTGATTTCGCCTCTAAAATGATGGAATGTGTCAATAAAGTTCGCGATATTTGTCAAGCAAAAATTAAAGAGTTTCTATTCCTTTGATATACATACTTCTTCCTTCAATTTTCTTCTCTTTTTCATCTATTGTTATCAGAAAATTCACCTCTAAAATTTCTTTTTTTTTTAATTGTCAACTCTACCTCCACAGTCATGGCTTTCAAAGCAAAGAACACTGAAGTAAACAAAGAAACTCGCATGTTAGCTAACATGCTTCAATCTGTCTGTTGCATTGAAAGTCAATAGTATGCACCAAAACCTCCCAATTATGAAGAAAAACTTTGAATCTACAAATCTTAGATAATCATTCCTTACTCCATTTCTAAAAAACCTTATGCACTTATGGTTCGATGCACGATCCCTTTGAGCTATTCTAAAATTTTGATAGTTTTTAAAAAAAAATGAGTTATTTTTATGGATTTAACCTAATAAATATTAAACCGACCAAATCCATTATATTTATCCGTCAAACCGATTTAATTAAATTTTCCGAAAATTGAACTTTTATTGGTCAAATTGAACCTTGAAAATGAAACTGCAGTTTGTATCAGATTTAAGTTTTTGACCTAATTTCAACTCAAAAATCGATCAATTGTCTAGCCCGACGACACCAACACAACATCGACATTTTTAGTCTTTGATTTGACCGTAACAAGTGTTGTAATGTGAATGATTATGTCAAAAAGGCATATGGCATAGTGAAGAAATATAGTGGAGTGATTAAAAAGTATTCCCAACTAACACATCAAAAGCAACCAATGTGGAGTCTTTCTGTGAAACCACATTACATGATGAATGTAGATGTTGAAAGTCTGGTTAACAATTAAGTGTTGGAATTGTTATTAGGGACATAAGGGATTGTCTTAACTGTCACTAATTCTGCGGGTGAACCAGAATTGATCGAAGATGGATAAATATGGATTGCAACGGTGGACTTTAGCTTCTGTTACATTGAAAGAAGGGGTAATCTACAAATTTAGTACTCCAACGTTCAAGTCAGTATGAGAGTAAGATGTGTGAATGAAATTGAATTCAAAATTGTTTAGATAAATGATGTACCTCTCTCTTATATAATATGACGGTTATAACCGCTTATTGAACTATTGTTATGGAATACGGAGATCCATGTGATTGATTTTGGATCGAGATCATGTGCATTCCTGACTAAGATAGTCCATCTGCTCTACTTATGATGCGGCAGATCATTCTACTATCTAGACCATGATTATTGGGCCCTCTGACTGGCCTAAAACACATCGATAAATAATCACAAGCTAACAATTAGATACATATTAACATTATTTTTTAACAACTATAATGCTTAAATTATATCATCACCTTAAGCATGTATTAAATTTAAAATGGAAATCATGATAACATTATTTTTTAACAACTATAATGCTTAAATTATATCATCACCTTAAGCATGTATTAAATTTAAAATGGAAATCATGATGCATGATTATACAAGGATTATACAGGACACCTGCATATACTTGACTTTTATATTTTCTAAAGTGAATTCCATGACACTTGAAACATTTCAAAATGCAATGCAATGAAATTTCTTATGACACTTTTGACAATGTAATATGTTGTCTCCGTTTTAAAATAACTGTCGTTTAAAATTTTTATATATAAAATAAATAATATAATAATATTGTCATAAGATATTACACTTTTATTAAATTAATTTTATTAAAATATTAAAAGTAGTATATCGAATAATAAATAAAGAACGCAATTGAAAAAATTGTAAAACGAGAGTCATTTTAAAATATAATTTATTTGTTAAAACAACATTTTAAAACGGAAGGAGTAGTAAAATTTCATATACTTTTCATGAGACATTTCTTCACATTGATACTATCAATTCCAAGACACTGGTGAGAAACATGTCGCAATACTCTCACAGAGGTAGACACATTTAACTTATAGACTCTTAAATCACTCCAAGATCTTTTAGATGACACGTCAATGTACACAATAGTCATGTAATAGTTGCTAATAATTAAGGTGATTTATCAAGGTCCAATTATAATTGTGTTTGTCAGGCCTATTTAAACTTGGAACATAAATCTTGTTATTGTCTTTTTTCTCCAATTGAATTAATGTACCTTTTACTATTGAAAGTCATCGTGATCAAATAATTAAAACGTAACACACTCGAATCAATTCATTCATAGCTTCTAAAATTGTCTTTCTTTCTCATACTCAAGTCATTTTTTACCTTGGAGTTGGAGACCTCGTTACTAAAAATTCATGACTCAATACATCTTATCATACTTCATATTTAGCACATCACATCATACTTCATATTTAGCACATCACATAATTTATAATAGGTTTTCGACTAGTGAAAAGTGAAGGCGATTTCTCTTAATCTTCCATTAATATTGAACAACGTCCTCTTGTATTTCTTCCTTTGTTTCCACATATTTAGTTTAGTTAATGAATTGATTTACAGTAATAATAAAATCTCAGTCCGGAAAAACAAATGAAAAATCCTATAAGGTGACAAAACATTGACAAGAATGTACATCACCTCTATTCCATCCAAAACATATAGCTCAAGTCTCAGTAAAAGTACCAGGTTAGTTATTTATATATATATATCAACATGAAAGTGCCACTCTAGCAAAAGAAAGGAGGGAAAAAATCTACCTTCTCTCAGCCTGATTAATTAGACAAACAGGCATACTACAAAAGACACACATCACTAGGCAGTTCTGTTTTTCCTCAAACTCATCACATCCAAGCAAGTTGAATAACAGAAGCCATGGCCAATCAACTCATAGCATATATCAATATGGCTTTGTTGAAATGAAATCTGATCCAAAGACCACTCAATGAAATCTGATCCCATATGCTTATAGTTTGCTGATCACAGAGGCTTTACCTCTCAGCTACTCATCCCCATCTAATAAAAACTACATACACATACTTATAGATAAGGTAGATCAAGAAGCACATTAACATGCCGAAAGACTACAGATCTTTGGTCTTTTGCTCATAACCAATAATGAATGTTAATTGCCATCCAAATGTCTCCATACAACCTCTAAGCAAGAGATCAAGCTTATTAAAAGGAATTCAAAATAACAAGCTATCTTCCATCACGTGTTCACTAAAGACATCGATTACTTCATGTAATCATGCTATGTAAACATAATTACCTCATGAAGCATTAGGCTAATCCTTCTATCTTTTTTCCCTCCATTAATCCATAATCGCCCTAACATAAGGTTCTTCTATCCGTACTATATTTTTAGAACTAAAAGCAATAACTCAATACACAGAAATCACCAATTTGCAGCAACAAAAAAGAAAACCAACAGAATTATCAAAGCAAAATAACAACATAGGTTATTACTGATACACTATCAATTGGTACCACTCCTTGATATAAAGACATATATGCCAGTCAAAATGCACATTTGGGAACTTAAGAGAGGCAATGCAATCATATATCTGACATAAATAATGAATTTTAAGATGAAAATTGATTGGTAATGCTAACAATCCCATCAAAGTGATTTATTAGTAATTGTTTCACTAATTACTGAGTGAAAAAATAAGTTGTACATTCTATAATATCATCACACGCAGTTTAGCTCTGCATCTACATCAAAAGCAAGACAATAGTAAATTAAACCATGTTTCAAACTCATCAACGGACTGAATCAAACTTCCTTAGCATATCACAGTGAGGCGTTTCCCTGATATATCCCCACTGGCGTCGCTGGATCTCAAACTGACAATTCTGGCGAAGAATACCAAAGTATTCTCTCTCAACTTTTTCCTCAAGTGTAAGCCGTTCGCGGCTATCCAAGGGATAATCTTGTTCAAACTTTGTGGACTTAACATAGTAGTTAACACCCTTAGGTGTAGTAAGCCGGTGTTCATAGGGATAGTTTTGCGAAAGAGTGTACACAGGTTCCGATGAAGGCAAAAAGTTAATCAGCAAAATGAGAAGCACAGGAAGCACCTGAATCAAAGCTCGGACATTGAATCCACCAGACCCATTATCAGCAGCAGGCTGTCTATGAGCCATCCCCGGCCCTCCAAAACTAAACCCGCCAAAATTAGCCGCTGGAGCCATTCCTCCAAAGAAGAAATTCCTAAATATTTCCTCAGCATCAACATCAGCATCATAGTAACCATTAAAGCCTCTAGCAGAAGCCGGTCTTGCAGCACGCCTTTCGTAAACCACTTCATCTTCTCCAGAAACATCATACTTTCTCTTACTCTCCTCGTTACCAAGACACTGAAAAGCCTTGGACACCAACTTAAACGCGTCCTCCGCTCCAGGAGCCTTGTTCTTGTCAGGATGAACCTTCAAAGAGAGCTTCCTATAAGATTTCCTGACATCATCCACAGTACAACTCTTCTCCAACCCTAAAATGTCGTAATAATTCTTCTTCCTCTTAATTTCTCTTATAATTGAAACTTGTTCCTGACTATATGATATCGAGGAAGACGCCGAAGGCCCTGGCGCCGGAGCGGGAGCGGAAGACCTTCGACGAATGGAAGGCTGATCGGAGGGGGCAGCTACTGGAGGAGGAGGATCCCCTTCATCTGTTTGTATGGTGGACAATAGATCGTCAACGGGAAGGGCGGGATCGAGGCGGCGAGCTTTGTTAAGAAACTTCAAAGCGCGATTCCGATCGCCGTTTTGCAACGCTTCTTTACCGATTTTGAAGGATTTCAATGCATCGTCTTTGTTTCCATCCATTCTACAAAAACGGATCTGTAACTGTGTACCTGGTGAAACAGAACGGGATTCTGGATTTGATAAATTAAGCGATTATATAAAAAATTGAAATTAAAATTGAATTGGTTAGATTAGATCGAAGCGAATTGAACTTACAGATGGAGACAGAAGACGGGGTTGGAAAATTGGGTAGTTGCAGATCGAGAACGGAGTGAGTTAGGGTTTCAAGTGGAGAAATGATAGGAATTGGTTTTCATGTTGTTGTTGGTGCTTGTGCGATGATGTAACCTTATTTACTGCTTGCATTCTCGTTTATATATAAAGTCGTCTCGTAAACGCGTATTTTCATTTTATCTACAGCCTAGCCTATAATACCAAACTATCATCGTTATCATTTTTGGTGCTACATTTTTTATTTAACATAAATATTTTAACAAACTATACATTTATTTTTTTAATAAATATTTACAACTTATTTACATTAGTATATAATTGAAAAAATTCAAAAATATATATTATCAGAAACTAAATTAAGAATCAACTGATTAAATTTATTTAGTTCAAGTAAGTTGAGTTATCTCTCATGTCTAAAATGTTAATCAAGTAGGATTGAATCCATCACCTTCTCTTAACAAAAAGAAACATCAACTATTACATTAAAATATTAATCGTATATATTTTATTCATATTTATTGAATATTTTATTTATTTAAATTTATTTTTTGATAGATTTGTTTCGCTCAAGAATTAAAGATAGGTGTAAATCGAACAAACTTGATCTTTAATGTGGTTAAGCGAACTTCTGGTATGACGGAGTGGGGATGGAGCTACAAGATTATCACTCCAACGTCTAATTTAGTGAATGAGTGAAAAGGTAATTTGAGTGGGTGAATGAGAGGAAATACTTGAAATGATGTGAGTTGCGCTTTATATAAGACGACAGTTGAAATTCTGGTAATCAGACATTAGATGTCGAGTAAGATGTCACGACACTGAGATTAAAACAATAACGCAAATTAAACAATTATGAAGTTAAAGTGAATGGCTGGAAGTAAATAACACAGTCAATTGTTAACCCAGTTCGGTGCCACATCACCTACATTTGGGGGCTACCAAGTCAAGAAGGAAATTCACTATAATAGTATTAGTTTGAAGCCCAAGTAAACTACCTATGGTTTACAATCTTCTCACTTAATCACTACCCGTGCTATTTCTATCTAAGACACTCATAAATATGAGACCTTCTCACTTTCCTTCAATCACACAACAATGATAAAATAATGAACAATATAAGACACACTTCCAATGACACAGAATTCATTATTACTTAAAAACTCATGAGTGATTCACAATTACAACTAAATAAAATCAGTCCAATTCAAGCATCTAAGTGATGCATGAATGACTCACAAATAAACATATTCCAACTCAGATATCAAAGATGATATAAAAGTGAATCACAAATAACAAAGGACACACTAAACCCTAAAAACTTCGCTCACAAAAACAACTTTGATACCCAATTAGGTTTAGAATCGTCCTTTATATATCTTTTGATAAGCACAGGCTTTGGGTTTTTCATCTAAATAAAAGGCATATCCAAAACAGCAACTGCAAATATTCTGCATAATCTTCTGCACAAAAATATGAACAAAATATAATGTTTCCTAAAAAGTCTCGAAGTCCCTTTTTATGAATAAATGCACTTCTGGTATAAAACCAATATTCCTAAAATAACCATCCTTGGACTACGACAGAGTGTGAATTAAAACCATAAAATCTCATTTTAAAAAACAAATCTTCCAAGAAGCAAAACGCTAAAATCTGGTATAACATATTAAGACATCGAGCTTGACATCTCTACAACGATGTCTGACCAACATGTCAAAACATCTTTCTCAACATCTTATTGTGATACTTGTTTTAACAAAGTTGCTGCCAATCACAAAAACATAGAACTAACAATCTCCCCCTTTGGAAAATTTTGGCTAAAACAACCTTGACAAAAAGAACTGGAGAAAAAGAAAACAACAACAACTACTACAAGAAACTAAGAAACAAAAAAAACATAAACTTGGCATAACACCATAACACATCAGAGGCACACGCAGCAACACTAAGAAAAATAATCAACCTCACAAAAAGGACACACGCAGAGACAAACAATTCTCACACACCAAGATACTCCCAAAAAAATGAAATACATTGTCATGACATTCTGTCTGACATCAAAGCTACAATCACAATCGCAACAGACACACATAGAGAGGCTAAGCACACACACTCACCCTTAAAGGCAAGATTAGCAAATTAGCTCATACTCCCCCTATCACATAGCTCCCCCTCAAAATAATCACAAAAAAGATACATTCTGCAGAGAAAAAATAAATTCTCCCAGACAATGCACGATGTCATAACATGTGGTTCGACATCCCAGCAACACAAATCATGCTCATGCCCCTCCTTAGTTGTTTTCCCCCATTAAATAAATACCACTACTGCATATTAAAGCAGCAACACAACACATACTACTACCATACCAGCAACCTTTACTCCCCCCTTTTAGCCATAAATTAGACAACAACAAACAAAGGCATAAATTAGACAACTCCAGCAACAACATCTTCCTCTTCCTTATCTCCTTCAACATCAAGACTAATTGTTATAATTTCTCAAAAATACAAATTCTCAGTTCACCCCTTAACTTCTCAAACTGATTTGCATCCAAAGCTTTGGTGAAAATATCAGCCACTTGCTTCTTAGTGGCCACATGTTCAAGAGCAACAACTTTGTCTTTAACTAGATCCTTAATAAAATGATGACAAATGTTAATATGCTTTATCATACTATGTTGAACGATATTTTTATAAGTGTTGATAGCACTCAAGTTGTCATAGTATAATGTCATAACATCTTGTTTGATATTATATTCTTTTAAAACCTAGTTCATCCAAATCAACTAAGTGTAACTGTTTCCTGTAGCAATATACTTAGCCTCAGTTGTAGACAAAGACACACAATTTTTCTTCTTACTGAACCAAGAGATAATATTGTTTCCCAAAAAGAAACACCATCCAACAATAATTTTTATATCATTAGTACTTCTTACTTAGTCTGCATCACAATACCCTACTAACATGGAATTTGGACTATAAGAATACAACATTCCATAATCACTAAGACCATTGATGTATTTTAAGATCCTCTTTACTTGAGTAATATGACTCATTTTAGGCTCATCTTGGTATCTTGCACAAACTCCTACAACAAATGTGGTGTCTGGTCTGCTAGTTGTAAGATACAGTAGACTATCATTCATACTTCTGTACAAACTTTGATCCACATCAACACCTTTTTCATCTTTAGAGAGCTTCAAGTGAGTTGCAACAGGTGTCCTCTTGTAACTAGAATTATCCATACCAAACTTCTCCACTATGTTCTTGGCATACTTACTTTAAGAGATGAATATAGACTCATCCATCCGTCTTACTTGGAGTCCAAGAAAATAGGTTAATTCACCTATAAGACTCATCTCAAATTTAGATTGCATTTTCTTGACAAAATGTTGGACCATCTGGTTTGACATCCCTTCAAATACAATGTCATCAACATATATCTGAGCAATCATGAGTTTTTCATCCATTTCTGTAACAAACAAGGTCTTACCCATTCCTCCTTTCCTGTACCCATTACTGACAAGAAATTCTGTCAGTCTTTCATACCAAGCCCTAGGAGCTTGCTTTAACCCATAGAGAGTTTTCTTCAGTTTGAACACATGATCTGGAAAAGTAGGATCAATAAACCCTTTTGGTTGTTCAACATATACCTCCTCTTGTAGGTACCCATTCAAAAAGGCACTTTTCATTCCTCTTGAAATGATCTAATTCTTCTTGCATGGAATTGATCTAGAACTCGTCAATTAAAGCCTCTTTCACATTTTTGGGTTCAATCTTAGAAACAAAACAAGAGTTAGATACGACATCTCTTGATATAGTGATAATCCATTCATTAGGATTTCATATGATGAGTTCCTTAAGATGATATTTCTGAATTCTAGTAGAGGGGCCCTTGTTGGCTTGATTGTCATCATCCTCAATAGTTGCAACTTCATTATTGGTCTCAGGATCAATCACATTTTCTGAAGTATCATTCAACTGAGGTGATGTTTCAACATTGTTTTCGACACTTGTATTATTCTCTATAGTTGAATCATCAATCACAACATTAATAGATTCCATCATGACCTTGGTTTTGTTATTGAAGACTTTATAGGCTCTGCTGTTTGTAGAGTAACCCATAAATATTCCTTCATCACTTTTGGGATTCATCTTTCTTCTTTGTTCACGATCATCCAAAATGTAGCATTTACTTCCAAAAACATGAAAGTATTTGTCAGTAGGCTTCCTTCATTTCCACAACTCATAGAGTGTAGCTGAAGTACTAGTTCTCAAAGTAACCCTGTTGTAAATATAGCATGCAGTATTCATTGCTTCAGCCCAAAAATGATATGGCAGATGCTTAGCATGAAACCCTTCTCACTTCCCTTCAACCACACAGTAGTGATAAAATAATGAATAATAGAAGACACACTTCCAATGAAACAAAATCCATTTTTTTCTTAAAAGCTCATTAGTGATTCATAATTACGACTCAATAAAATCAGTCCACTTTAAGCATTTAAGTAATGCATGAATGGCTCACAAATAAACACAACCCAACTCAGATATCAAGGAGGATATAAGAGTGGATCACAAATAACAAAGGACACACTAAACCCTAAAAACTTCGCTCACAAACACAACTTCGATACCCAATTAGGTTTAAAACCATTCTTTATATATCTTTTGATAAGTACGAGCTTTAGCCTTTTCATCTAAATGAAACACATATCCAAAACAGCAACTGCATATATTTTGCATAATCTTCTGCACAAAAATATGAACAAAAAACAATGTTTCCTAAAAAATCTCTAAGTCTCTTTTTATGAAACAAATGTACTTCTGGTATAGAATCAATGTTCC